TTCAAGGAAGACACCCCTGGAAATAAATTACAAACATTTCCAGACACTACCCCCAACCCCAGAAACAGCCCAAATGATTCACAAGGTCCAAACATGAAGTGTCAAACAATTTTTGTCCAGGGGGGCTGACCATGGTCATTGACATGGCCTATCTTCAAGGAAGACACCCCTGGAAATAGATTACAAACATTTCCAGACACAACCCCCAACCCCAGAAACAGCCCAAATGATTCACAAAGTCCAAAAATGAAGTGTCAAACAATTTTTGTCCATGGGGGCTGACCATGTTCATTGACATGACCTATCTTCAAGGAAGACACCCCAGGAAATAAATTACAAACCTTTCCACACACAACCACCCCCCACTCCAGACACAGCACCAAAGACTCAAAAAGTCAAGAAACCAAATTTTAAATATTTTCCATGGGGGCTGACCATGTGACCTATCATACCTATCTTCAGGTAAGACACCTCAGGAAATAAATTACAAACATTTCCAGATGAAGCGCTGATGTAGATTGAAATAGGAACCCGTGCATGCACCAAAGACCTGGCAAGATGGAAAAAAGAAAACCTAGCTGCGTTTTGGAAACGCTACACTTAACATCAATTCGATAAATTTGACAGGTATCTACCCCGCTAGCTTTCACAATCTTTCACCAATCCCCCCTGCCTCTTCCCGTCAAGAAGATTAAAAAGTTATAGAAGTTGTTATTGGGGGGGGGTCAGGGGACAGGATAAACAATGTAAGCTTAAAAGTTGTTATTGAGGGGGGGGGGTCAGGAGACAGGAGAAAAATCATGAACTTAAAAGTTGTTATTGAGGAGGGGGGGGTCAGGGGACAGGATTTAATTTATTGTTATATAGTGATCATGAACGACTACCCCCCCCCTCTTCTTGGCTTATTTCATGGCCTTCTTTCAGAGGTCTGCGCCAATGGAAATAAATTCCATTTCAACATTAATTTCCAATGTGAGGACATCCCTGGCAGTACACACGGGGATCTTGATAGAGGTCTGCGGAAGCTTGGGCGACGAGCCTGTCCTGTGTGGACGCCGCCTCGTTTTGTGTGGCAGGTGCAGCATTTGGAGCTCGCCAGGCTCGATCTGTGTGGCAGACGTGGCACTTTCAGTACCTTCATAGAGGTCTGCGGAAGCTTGGCGACGAGCCTGTCCTGTGTGGACGCCCCCTTGTTTTGTGGCAGGTGCAGCACTTGGAGCTCCTTAGGCTCGATCTGTGTGGCAGGCGTGGCACTTTCAGTACCTTCATATAGGTCTGCGGAAGCTTGGCGACGAGCCTGTCCTGTGTGGACGCCGGCTCGTTTTGTGTGGCAGGTGCAGCACTTGGAGTTATACGCACGCAGTTTTCTTCAACGTGTTCTGGCAGCAGTTTGTTCTTTGGTTTCACTTTAACCGGTTCCTTGATGTTCACATAGGAATCGAACTCCATGTGTACACAGTAATGTCACGCGAGCAGTCACTCAGCCTGTTTCCCCGTATAAATGTCTCCAGTGACCGCACCGACGATGTGGCAGCGTTGCATTATTACTTGGCGCTGCGGAATGGATGTTTGTCAGGAGCTTGGGAAACCGTGAGATTGACGCAGACAGATGTTAAAGTGAGATGGTAATGAGCCATTGAGTGAGTAGTATGATGGAGTAGGTATCTGACGTATGTCTTCGCATCTATACGTGTCAGGATCATGCGCTTCGATGTTCAAGAAACTTGTAGGCTCGGGTTTGTGAGAGCATGATTTTGAGCGACAGCGCAGAGTATGAGAGCATGAGTATTAGCGATGTCACCGAATCCAAAAGAATTCAGGAAATTGTGTTTTGCTATCGGCAGGCAGGTCATGTTGGAGTTGGTCCAGCAGCTTGAGATGTAGGCGCGCGTTTGTGAGAGCAGGATTTAGAGCGACAGCGCAGAGTATGACAGCATGAGTTTAAGTGTGTCACAGATTCCGATATAGTACAGGAATTTTGTCTTGCTATCTTGCTATCGATCACGTCATGGTGGAGTTGGTAATGCAGCCTGAGATAATACGATGCGTCGACTTTGATTTATGCGGGTCCTGTTGGCTTCAGCGCAAGATCTTCAGTCTTGTCACAGACGGTCGTAACAACAATTTACAGGACAGCTACGTGGGTTGTCTGCAGACCTGAAGCTACTTGCTGATTTTCTGTGGACGCTCCTTACCACATGGACGCCTGTGAAAAGGTTTCACCACTTGAGGGAGGCCATGCCAGATGCAGCACGTGACTTGCAAGCCTGGGCCGGAACCTTGCCACAGTTGACTGAGAGCTCCGCTGCTACGCAGGATGAGGGCGACGCCCCCATGTGAGAGGATACGTTGCGGTCAGACGGGAAGTTGGTTTGATGCGTCTTGCTGATGTCCAACGTTCCGCTCGCATTTTTGCTGTCCAAAATCCCATCGCTGCAGTCTGGAGAGGAGACTCGCTGTGCGACAGACCGTCCGCAGCTGCTCTGATGCGACTTGCAGATTTGCGGCTACGGGGACTGTCTGTAGGTACGATCCTATTTTTTTGTTGTGACCCACTGCTTGTGACGCAGTGTGACCTGAAGCTGCTCTGATGCGACTTGTTGATTTGCAGCTTCGGTGCACTACTTGGCCTGTCACTCTCTTACCGCAACGCTTTGCAGACATGGAAGACAAAAGGTAACCCGGCTTCATGAAGGTTTTGAATATCCACGCTGAAAAGAACTATGTATCTGTGGAGAAACTGTGTCAGAAAGAGCTCTTGGGCGTGTTTCGTGAAGACGAATCAGGATGACAGTCATCGATGTGCACGCTCGATCATCGGAGGCTGGGATTGAACAGCGCTTGCTGCGCACCCATGTCCAAGTCCAACATTGGGTTTGCTGGCGTCGAAGCTATACCATGACGGTTGTGTGATCATGCGTCGATCTGAATGTGCAAGTTTGCCTTGTGAGTAATCATGTCAGACCAAGTATACACCGCGAACTCACGTGTGTTCTTCAGCAATGAAGGATTGCGGACTGGATACGCCGAATTGTTGCCGACATTTGGCTCGGTTGCGCGCAGCGAAGTGCATTTATAAGTTTGTCTGCTGCTCGAAGCGGTTGGGATCAGTGAATAGACGCAGCGGATTGAAACTGCTTTGCGCAGACCTGATGCTACTTGCTGATTCTCTGTGGGATTATTTCCGGGCGTTTGTCCTGAATTTATTGGTCGTTGGCGCGTGTCGCACGGGGTCGGAGCTGCCTGTCACTGTGTTGTGGTAACAGGACAATGACAGGCATCTCCAACCACTGAGGGGTGACGTAGCAAGGACTTGGTGGCTCTGGAAGAGCTACAAGCGCAAGACGCACTCGCTAAGGCTGCGATGGGTTTGGTGGGCCTTGCTTCACCACTTTCGATGTCATTGTCAGCTGGACATGACCTGCAGACCGCTTACACCATCTGCTTGCGGTTGTCTTTGATGTCAAGAGCCATGATCTGATTTGCGTCCACGACGACCCAGGCACAAGTAACAACAGCACTGGGGTAAACGAAAACAACATCGGTCTGGTATTGCTGTTTTCGTTTTCTGTCCCCAACCAGACGCTGTATTATTGTGGTGAGTTTAAGTCAGTGACCATCCTTTTCGGGCATTTGGAAGAAGTTGCAGTCATATATATATATATATTTGGAAGCGGGTGAACCCTTTACCAAGCAGTCCGTGTAACTCTGTCTGCGTGGGCTGTCACCAAGTTGGCCGCTGTGTGGAGGGTCGCAAGTTCCTGCATGGCAAAGCGCCTTGCAGATCCACCCGGAACTTGCATATCTGGGAGGCCGAACCCTTTACCAAGCAGTCCGTGTAACTCTATACGCATGGGCTGTCACCGAGTTGGCCGCTGTGTGGAGGGTCGCAAGTTCCTGCGTGTTGGGGCCAACATCCTTCTGGATATGACAGTTGCTACGATGCGCCAATGTAGCTACTGGGACGTACCGATTTTTCAATGATCGGGGGATCCGGTGACGTGCCTTGCTGATCCCGCCCGGAACTTGCATATCTGGGAGGCCATTGACGTACGAATGAAGGGGATGCACTGCCGTTCATCCACATTGATTCAGTCACTCTTCAAGTGTTTTGCTCTGATCCATTTTTGAGAGTGTGGGTTCTGTTTCCTTGTTACTCTGGATTGCAGGTATGGGTTGCGGACACCCTCGTGGGTAGCTGAGCTGCTTGCATAGTCCTCATGTGACGTTTTCTCCACTGCTGACGTGCTCAGGTCGCTACCTTCGTCCTTACCAAACAGTTCAACTGCGGTTGTGCTGACACCACGTTGGCCGGCGGTGGGGAAGTTCATGGGAGGCTGTGAGACCCATTACGATCTGCGTGACGACATGTGAGATATAATAGCACATAACTCAACATTCGCCTAACAGCACTTCTCGGCATTATACACCCGTCACGAGATACAGCATCACCCACTCAACCCCCGCTTACATATCTCACTCCGCTCGTACTCATCAGTAAACTTTATCATCCGTTCCACGACACACCCAACACCTTACATGTCTCCACTTGCCTCAGTCTACTCTCAGTTTACCTTATGTTTCTTCTTCTTCTGCTTCGATGTGTGTATTTTTTTTGCTCCGCTCTAGTCAGTTCTATCTTCAAAGAGTTGTTATCATGTGGGGTTATCCGGTCCTATAATTTTGACGGGTCTGTTGGAAGCCATAGAAGACTCTGGGTCGAACTTTTTGCACCTTGACAGCCGGTAAATATCCTGGACGCAGCGGTTGCACCGCCACAATACCCACTGCAAGGCGACAGCTCTTGGAGCGGCTGGAGGTGTTGGAGGAGCAGCAGAGGCAAGAAGTTGCTGAATTGGAGGAGCGCAAATACTCGGCTAGAAGAACGTGCAGCCTCGCATCGTTAAGCGAGTTGAAGAACGGGTTTGTTTGGGTAGAGCAGGGAGAACAATTTTGATTTCGCATTTTGAAGTACCAGGTCACCTCAAAGGACTTCAACAGCCTATTGGTTCGGAAGTTTAATGCTTGCTTGCACTTGGGCGGTTGAGGATTTTCACGCACTAGGAGGAGGAATACATCTAAAACTAATCTATTTCAGACAATGAGTTTAGACTCTAGACGATTGAAATGTCTGTAGACCGCTAGGAGCAACTGCGGGCGTTGGAGCCGGCGGTGCCAACCGAGCCTGTGACGGCCAGCCAAACACCATATGTTTTCCTTGCGCTGCCAAGACAACACGCCTAAGACAGTTTCCAACGCAGACAGCATGATTGATGAGTACGCGCTTCTGGTTGAGTACACTATGAGTGGGGTTTAGTTGGCGTTGCAGGACGCAAAGCAAAGAAGGCTTTTCAGCCGCATTGAGCAAGCTCATAGAGCTCCAAGTCATTTGGCTAGGGGGCGTTTTCAAGTTTTTGGAAAATTGACGATTTAACTATGACTCTCAGCCTCGTAGCTCATAACTTTGTAATCTGGGCGCAACTTAAGAATTTGTATGTGGTTCTTCCTTCGCATTTTGCTCACGTTTTTGCGATGCCAAGGAAAGATTCACCTGAGATGATTGCTTTCAAGCAGGATGTGGATCACCGCGGTCAGACATGCATTTTTGCCATTCCGTCTTTGATGTCGCCTCCAGCAAACAGTGAAGGGTGCCAAAATTGTTACTTTGGTGAGCGACACTATGATTTGTTTGCGACCCTGGAAACACAGACTCAGACTTGGGCCTGAAACCAATGGTCGACAATTAGAAAGACAGGGTGACCCTGCGCACCATCCTGGCCACCTAGACCTTCAAACACACTGTCAAACAAATTGCAAGCAAGGGTGACTTGACCGAGAAAACAAATTTGATTCACAAAGACATAGCGGTTTCCCACGGAAGGCTTGTCATTTAAGAAAAATATGGTGTCTCGGTCATGTTTTGTGGTGACTCGGTCACGTTTATAGGCGGTGTCTCTCAGTCATGTTTTGGCGATGTATGGCTTGTGTTTGGCGGCGTCTAGGTCGCGCTTGGGCGTTGACTCGCTCATGGGTAGTATCTCGGTGATGTTTGTGTGGTGTCTTGGTCATATGTTTCGCTGGCCTCAGTCATGTTTCACTAGTGTCACAGTCATGTTTTGGCGGTCTCTCGCTCATGTTTGGCCGGTGCGCCGGTTATGTTTCGGCGATGTTTCTGTCTTGTTTCCCAAGCGCTCCAAACTTTTGGCGGTGTGGTTCGCTGATGCTTTAAGGTGGTGTCTCGCTCTTTCAGTCTTGTGCGTGTATGAACTGTGCGCTTGCGGGTGCCTGATCCACTTGGCGCAGCGCTTAAGCATCATATCGCACGTGAATGTATAAATTTTGCGGCGACATTAAGAAACTTCTGTATAAAACCTTAGTTGCCAAGTACGCGCGCTTTCTGCTTCTGTAGATATTTGCTTTTTTGTTTTTCGACACATCAGTAGAGCAACAGCTCAAAGGGTCCGGTCCCAAAATCTTTATGTGAGGACCTTGTTTTCCATAGAAATCATGAGGGGGCCTTGCAAAGGGTCAACAAAAAAACCGTCATCTCGTTCAATTTCCTTTGTTCTTGGCTTGGCAACTTCCGCTTAAACCCATACCAAAGAGTACAACTTTTTGATCAAATTGTCTTAACGAGCGTGTGAACAGAACTCTCTCTTTCCTTTTTCCGCTCACTTCCAATGCACTCTGCGCTAGGTTCGCCCTGGCCTCCGGTTGGTCTCCAGGCCGCCCCGGAATCCGTTTCAAGCATGCCTTGCTGAGCATGGTGGTTGGTTCCACTCACTCTTCTGCTTCGCAAGGACTGAAGCACACAAAGCATATTTGAATAGTCTGTGTGTCGGGTGAACCCCCGCGACCGTAAAATCACAAACCTCAATGCACATGCTGCCCTGAACAAATGCACCAAGAAATGTTCAGTAGCAGTATATCTAATGGAATCTTTACATCTAGTACAGCTCACCGCTTTCGACCCAAACATGAGTTGGTGCTGCTGGAGGGCTGACCCCGGTGGCAAACAGTAGTTCTGCGCGAGCCTGGAAACGAAAGCAACTCGGCCCTTGGGCATACAAGGTGAGACCCCGGAAGTTATTGAGGTTATATTGAACTACAAGTTCACTATAGTGTACTATAGAGCCCTATAGGTTGCCTAAGTCGCGGATAAGTAAGTTTTGGTTTTTTCAAAAAAGTAATAGTGAAGTTTTAACTTACATATAACTTACTCGTGTTTTCAAAGTATTGGTTTTCAGTTTTTTATGAAGTTATCTGGAAGTTACTGGAACTTTTTTTGTTTTTCAAGAGAAAGTTTAGTTTTGAAGGCGAAAATTAGCAAAACTTTATATACATACTTGGTCGGTGGTTTTTACTTGTGGCACTTGCAACTTAGTTAAGACACTTGTAGGACTTAAGCAACTTGTAACTAGTACTTAGGGAACTTAGGTTTTAGTGTTTTTAAATATAACCGTAAGTTGTTTAAATTACTTGTAACTAACTGATAAGTTCTGTAAGTTCCTGGACGACCAAAAGTATAGTCTCAAACAAGCTGAAAAAAGTCATTTTCGTTTTGCACACATGACAAGCAAACATGTTGGCGGCTAATTGAGCCGCCTATACAAAGCTATAGACTATAGAACATCTCAGAGCTAAAGTACATGTTGGCGGCTCATTGAGCCGCCGAGCCATATAAGCGTTTCAAACCTCATTAAAACACATTGTTTCAGTGAAGGCAAAGCAGCTTCTCTGCGTCCAGCTGCAACCACCATGTAGGACTTCGCCCGGCCAAGGAAATGTGCAGCAAGCGCTTCCGGCCAGTAACACGCCAAGAGCTCCAAAACTCTGTCTGCTCTTCGATTTCAATCGGCTGAATAAGGAGATAAAACTCCGTGCCATCTTGCACTGCTGAGTCAGCCGTGCAGGGGTGCACCCCCAGTAACACATCATTCTCTGAATAAGTATGTCCTTTGTGAAGGACCTTCTTTGCCACCATACAGTTGCTTTTCCCAAGACTTTGCCCAATGGTGTCCGATGAAGATTGTTTTCCCTGCAACGCGGTGCCAAACTGGTAGGCCGCCAATGAAGTGATGTGATGCTTCCATATCTCTCGCCGAACACAATGACTGAGTTCACCCTTGTCCTGTTGCACTTTTGGGTCATAACGGTGCAAACCAATATGCGACTTGAACTGCTTGTGCTTTCGCTCCATCGCAAAACAGTCGACGTAGAAGCCGGTTTGTTTCAACTGCTCAGCCACATGAAACCGTTGGTGATGTTTCGGTTTCACAAAGCTCTCAGAATAAACTTCAACAATCAAAGACTGATGCGACTTGTAGTTCTTGTAGCCGCTCAGTAGCAAGTGGCGCAGAACTCGCAGCAATGCTCCGTAATTCAATGCTGATGCGTCGCAACGCATTGAAACTTTCCATTTCCTTCACAAGCAACCCTCTGGAGTCAAGAACTCTTGACAAGAAGTTGTGAAATAGTGGGAAAAACATTAAGTTCGAAGCGGACCCTTTGTACACGGCACCCTCAAAGTTAAAGGCGCCACCAAGCCGCTTTCGAAAAGATGGCTTGCAGCTTTGCACGGAAGTGCGCCACTCCAAGGACAAGAACTGCTCTAGATCGCCAATTCCGGTCTCACTCCATTTGGCCTGAAGCGCGTTCACTTCCCAAGAAATGATCCCGCAACTCCAATACAAATGCATAAAGTCGAGAAGAAAGGCGCTCGGTGGCAGAGCATCACGCGCCAAAGGGTCGCTCAACAAACCCTCAGGATTGAACCTGAAGCCGCAGGCCATCTCTTTCTTTTGCAGGGCTGGCCTGGAAACATTCGGCGCAACAGCGCTCAAGTTGTCAACGACACTAAAGATTTCGCTGTCGCTTTGCCGGTGAAATCGCTCAAGACGGTGAGAGGTAATGTCCTCGAAGAAGTCGTTGTAGTCTGGAATGTTGGTGTGTTTCTTGATGCAGTTCTTACAGAAAACGCAGCACCTAATGGCAGCAGAACCTTTGGCGTCCAAGGCATACCGTATACTGTCGAGATCGATAATCATATAGCGATAGTCCAGACGCACTAGACCCAAACGGTTTGGAAACTGTACTGGGATACCGTGATTTAAGTCTGGACCGTTTAGCTCCAGAACGATTTTCCTCACCGCCTCTGAAAACCCACCCTGAATTTGTTCAAACTGTTGATGCTGCAGAAGGCACAATGGATGCCAGACCGTATCTGACCATAAGAAGCCAGCTTCCTTCAAAGAAAAGTACCATAGCGAGGCCTTCTTGCCCGAGTCGGGCGCCAAGACGTTGCCTCCGCTAGCCTCGTCGTTATAAAGCAGCGTCTGAAAAACTGTTTCAGGATGATGATTCAGCAGTTGTTCAATCCTTTCTCCATAGTTGGGGCATCGTTCTATGGCGGCCTTGATGCACTTTTTCACGTCACACATGTAAAAAGTAACGGGCTTACCAGCCTCAACACCTGGCAGTTCCATCAGGAGCAGCCTGGCTATTTAGCTTCTGCCAAGAAGTCTTGTCCAACGAAGCTTCCTCCCGGTCCAATGCTTTACAAGTTGCATTGAAGATGACTCTTCGACTTTCATCAGACACGCTATGTAGTCCCTGGGTTTCTTCTATCACATGGCTAGCAGTGGCGAGTTTTGCCTTCTTTTTGGGTTTGGATGCCATAGGCTCAGCCCAAAAACGCTAAATCATAAATATAACAATATATGTACAATGATTAGTCCAACACCTCGATTTCACATGCTCAACTAGCATGTATGAACCTGTGCGGCTCAATGAGCCGCAGCATTCACCATATACATATGTAGATAGATAGATCGATCGATCGACGGAGAGATAGATACTGGGCCGCCCAAGATGTAAAACAATATCTTTATATATGGCTTGAATGTTTTCTGTGTGCAAACAGGGTGTTCTATAACATGTGGGCGGCCCACTGGGCCGCCCAAGATGTAAAACAAAATCTATAAATATGGTTTGACTGGGCGGCTCATTGAGCCGCCTTCCCAAACCCTCCCAAAAAACAACTGCTAGCGTATATTCTAGAGCCCTGTTTCGTCCCCTTCGCTTCGTCCCTCAGGTTTGAGGCATGTGTAAGTCACACGACCCCCTTCCCGAATTTCACCATCATCCCAAAAGGATGGTATCAGATCAAAGCCAATCATTCATGGCAACAGATGAACCCATAAAGGCAAAACCAATCAGGCACCACCTTACTGCTCCCTTCTTGGTGGTGGCGCTCAACAGCTTCTTGACTTCCTTGGCGGCCCACGACAAGTCCTTGATCTTGCTGTTGCAGGCCTTGTCATTCTCGAAGGGCAGCGCGTTGAGTTCACACCCAGGGTTCTTGGTGTAGAACGCGAGGGAACTCGAAGCAGCCTTCTTCCACTCCTGCAGCTCTGAGAGGATCACGCCGTAGTCTTTGACCGCCTCCTCATCCTGAAGCCATTTGCCGACAGCCTTCTGAACCCGGTCCTCCCCCGTTTTGCAACATTGGCCAGGGGCACACCAACCTTGCTGGCCAAGGAAACAGCCTTCTTGGTGGTGGTCTTGGCCTGTTT